CAGACTTAGTGGAGGTCCAGAGGACTTAAGAAGCATTATACACCAGACTGTATAGCATCAAAAATAAAAGCATATTCCTTTGGTGGTATGTGAATGACAAACCTTTTATTTTGAACATGAATTGAACGGCCTCGTTCATTTCGACCGCCACCATTGCAAAAACTACAGACAGACTACAATTCTAAAATAGAGCAGAAAATTAATATCATCGTTCATGGCTTCTCCAGTAATCCAAGTAAACGTAAGAAAGCGCAGGGAGGCAATAGCTAGTCTAGGAAAAAGGAGGTCTTTTTTAGGGTTTCAAATTAAGAAGACCTTCACAGAGGGCAGAGGGAGGAGTTGGATTATCAATACATTCGGACTGAGAAGGCATGCTGGAGGAAGGTGGACAGTTTTTCTGCAAAGGCGATGTGATACAAAGAATGTAGGCCATCATCTCCTCAAGATTAGAGGAGAACAAAGATTTCAGAAGGAAATAAACGGCTATTTGCATATGTTCCGTGTCGTAATCTGGCCACAAGATGTCGCCAAAGTTCCTTTTATGAGGAACTTTGAGCCAGGAAAATATCTGTTCAATATTTCACTGCAACTGTAAATTTTTCAAATTAAATTAATTATATTATATTATGTTGTGAATGTGTTTATACACAGAGGAATGTTTAAGTTTATCTCTTTTAGATATCTCTTTTCTTTGCGAAGAGAGATTGAAGGATTTCTCAAACTTGCTTGAGAGATAGAGGGAGAGAGAGGCAAAGGGAGAGAGGCAAAGAGAGAGAAGCAAAGAGAGAGAGAGAGTTTAAAATTGCCTTTATTTTACACTCCTTGTTGTTGTTTTGTTGTTGTTTTTTGACAACAACAAAAAACAATCATAAATGCTAACTCAAAAAAAGGAATAACTAAAGATGCCTCATCCAATGTACATAAAACATCATTAATACCTCACTTGCATACAAAACCATCAATGTTCTTTGTCAACTTAAAAAAACTCAAACTCCACACGAATTCGAGCGATTATCAGTCTCTGAAATAAAACATAAGCATCATCTGTTTGATGACCGTTCTTTTTTGTTTCTCCTCGATAACCATATTGCCAGTTTCGCAGTTCCAGAAATAAAATTCAAAAGAATATGAATAGATTTCTTTCCTGCACAATACCGTGGACCATAAATAAAAACAGAAAACTGTTCACCAAAACCACCAAACAAACGACCCAAAAGAACAAAAAGAGGCTTCAATCTTAAACATTCAACAAATAAATGAGATAAAGTTTCATCTTGAGAACAATAACAACAGGAAACACTAACGCCAGGATGAAGGTGTGCCAGATACCTGTTTGTAGCTATGGCCCCATGCACAATCCTCCACTGGAGGTCACCCACCCGTTTCTCAACGGGGGGTTTGTACAGGGACCGCCAACAGCCTCTTGGGGTAGAGCTGGAGTCAAAAAACTCAAGCCACTTCGACACCCTCACTTCTGCCAGAGAGCGTAGATTCAGCACCTTCACACAGACATGGTACAAACCTTTCCTCCCCAGGCCTTCAAAACAACCCAAAGGTGAAGCTTGGAGAGACAACAACTTCTCTGGCTCATCCTGCCACTGATCCACTGCAGGAGAGACGATCATGGAAGGAAACACGTATTCATATTCATCATCCCATTGGTCAGACAGAATGCTGTTAACAGCAAACACTCTGATTGAAACTGGCAGAGATGCACATGTTTCTTCTTTAATCCTTAATGCAAGTCTGTTGGATCGTATCTGTAGACTCTCCATCAGACTGGGCAGCTCCATCAGATGACCCAGCTTCACACAGCCTGCTTCCCTCATCCTAGATCTTAGCGTATCAGATGAGAGGAGCTGTGATGAGAGGAAACTGTTCTCAAACAGAGGCTCTTCAAAAACCCACATTCCAGGTGTTGACTCAGTCTCTCTCTCAAAGGTGAGAATCTTCCAAGCGTTTAGCACAGATTGGTAGAACGGGGTGACCAGTCAAATCCAAAGATCCTTGTCTCAGCAGAAAGAGATGTTTATCATATCCCATACGTCCTGCTTTCCTTAGCAGAAGACGCGCCGTATCCAACCATGGCAGTCCAACTCCATATAACAGCTTCTGCAGAGTTTGAAGCCTGAAAGCCGCGATCCGCGACATGATGTCAATAAGTCCTTGTCCTCCCTCCTCCACAGGTAGATACAACGCAGCAGCTCTCACCCAATGGCATCCAGACCAGAAAAAATCCACTAGAGTCTTTTGGAGATGATGTACAAGAGAGGATGGCGGCGTCAACACAGTCAGTTTATGCCAGAGGGCCGAAGCAACCAAGTTATTAACTACCAAGACTCTTCCCCTGTAAGATAGCTGAGGCTGCAACCATTTCCACTTAGATAATCTGGCACACACTCTCTCCATGACACCCTCCCAATTTTTTCTCAAAACAGCCTCCGTTTCCAAAAAAACACTCAAGAATGTAAAGCCCTGATCAACCCAGTGAATATTACCTGGTAATACGGGGAGATTATTATTTTGTCCATGGGCCAACTTTTAAAGCAGAACTTTTCTCCCAGTTTACTTTAGCTGAAGAAGCTTTTTCATAAAGCTCCAAACAATGCTGAAGACTCATAGCGTCATTCTGGTTCTTAATAAAAATGTTAATGTCGTCAGCATAAGCAGAGACTTTACAATTATGAGGCAAACCTGGAAGAACAAGGCCAGTGAGGGTGGAGCGAACTTTAAGTAAAAAAGGCTCAACTACAATAGAGTCCAACTGCCCAGATATGGGACAGCCTGGTTTAACACCTCTTTGAACTTTAACAGGACGACTTAATCCTCCCCCAACTTTAACAACACAAAACACTTCATTATATAATAAACCCAATAAAGAAATAAAACCTTCACCAAATCCAAATGCTCTTAATGTAGAAAAGAGAAAACAATGATCAAAGGCTTTTTCCTGATCTAATGAAATAATTCCAACATCAGTTTCATATAATTTACAAATGTCAAACAAATCTCTTAAAAGAAAAAGATTGTCCTTAATAAATCTTTCAGGTACACAATATGATTGATCTTTATGTATAATGAGTTTGAGAATATTCTTCAGCCTGTTAGAAAGCACTTTAGAAAATAACTTGTAGTCCACACAAAGGAGAGAAACCGGCCTCCAGTTCTTCAACAAAATCAAATCTCGTTTTTTTGGAAGTAGGGAAAGGACAGCTTGTCGGCAGGATGATGGTAAGATTCCTGTTGATGGGCACTCCTGAAGCACCTCCCACAAGTCCTCCCCCAACAGCCTCCAAAAATGTTTGTAGAAGTCTGCAGGTAGACCATCTAGACCTGGACTCTTTCCAGAAACCATCTGTCCAACTGCAGCAGTCAGTTCTTCCATTGAAACTCCAGCATCCAAAATATCCTGATCTGCAGCGGTAAGCTGAGGAAGACCATCCAACAAAGTCTCCATAGAGCTTCTGTTACAGGTCTGCTTCTTGTAGAGGTCGCTGTAGAAGGCCACAGCATGTTCTTTCATAGTGCTGGCATCAGCAGTCAGCGCTCCATCAGGAAGTCGGAGGCAAACCAGCTGCTTCGCTCGGCTGACACTCCTCTCCAAATTAAAAAAGAAAGATGTCGGGGCATCCATGTCCTTCACCGTAGTAAACCTGGACCGAACTAAAGCCCCTTTGGCTCTTTCATGTAAAAAACAACTTAACTGATCTTTCTTAAGTTTAAGCTGATTATTAGCATCAGTTGACAAGTTATTTTCCAATTCTTTTATCTCATTTTCTAAATTCTGAATCACTTTTTTAATTTTAGCTGTAGAAAAACTTGTACATTGTTGGCAAAAAACTCTTATCTGAGCCTTTCCAACCTCCCACCATTCAGTTAAAGAAAAAAACTCTGATTTTCTTGTTTTCCATAGTTGCCAAAAGAAAATATCATTAAGTAGTTTCGTATTAAAATGCCAATACGATCTGTATTTAATATTACTTGAACAAAGAAAATCCAAGTAAACCAGGTGATGATCAGAAAACCCAACTGGAGAAATTAAACAGTTGGACAATCTATTTCTATAAGTATCTGAGATATAAAATCTGTCCAACCGAGCCCCACTCACTACCCCATCCTTCATTTTTACCCAGGTATACTGTCTATCCTGAGGATGTTTAGTCCTCCAAGCATCAACCAAGCCCAGCTGCGCTGTCACCTCAATCAGTTTAGAAGAAGATGGAGGATGAGGTTCTTCCCCGGTTCTGTCAGTTAGAAAACTAGCAGTGCAGTTCCAATCACCCCCCAACACAACACATTCATTTTGACTGGACTGTTGGAAAAAATTATACGTCTTGAAAAATGTTAATTATTTGATCCCCTTGATTAGGTGCATAAACATTCATAAAACAGAAAAGGGTTTTTTCTATTTCCACTCTAACCACCAGGACCCTTCCAGGGACCAGCTCAGTATAAGAAATAACCTCGATATCTAAACCTGGTGAGAATAAAACGGCTACACCAGCAGATGACCTGGTCCCATGAGACAAAAAATATTTCCCTTTCCAACTCAAACCCCACTCCACCTCATTTTCATGATCTGTATGTGTCTCTGGTAAAAGCACAACATCAAGTTCCATCCATCCATCCATTTTCTGAACACCCTTGTCCCTCAGTGGGGTCGGGAGGGGTGCTGGTGCCTATCTCCAGCTAACGTTCCGGGCGAGAGGCGGGGTACATCCTGGACAGGTCGCCAGTCTGTTGCAGACAACATCAAGTTTCTTTTGCCTAATCGTTTCTAAACTAACCATCTGTTTATGTAGATCCCTCCCACCATTGATGTTACTCATACAGGTGAAAAAGAGAAGGAAGACAGACAGAGACAGTAGAGAGAAGGTCACCCAGTGCACTTTTATCATTATCTTATTTCTGAATTTTCAGTCGTTTTGAACCTTTTGCTTTATTTGCTGACACCTGTCTCCGGACGCTTGTCGTGTGGTTTTTTAACCGGATCCGTTTCTTTTCATCCAGCATTTCAAAACCAACTATTTTCTGCACCATTAATACACTCTTGATAAATTTTTCTACATCAGGAAAATAGTCAAGGATTTTAACGTGTTTTCCAAACGTTTCATCCAGAAAATCATTAATTTCCTCCAGTGTATACAAATCACCTCTAGATGTTTGTGAATCTGCGATTGAAACGCCGTCTGAGTCGCTGTCATACTCCATGTCCTCTACCTGTGCAGGTGAGGCTGCAGACTGATCCTCTGCAGCGCCACCTTCAGGCAACGCTGCAGCCTCGACAGCACCACAAAAGAGAGAGATGGAGAGAGAGAGAGAGAGAGAGAGAGAGAGAGAGAGAGAGGAAAAAAAATTCTGATTTCAGAAACAATTAAAACCAGCCATTTGGTCACCAGAGAAAAAGAATAGGAGTTTATGTTATGATGACATGTGATGTGAGTTTTACTTTGAAAAGCAAGATCACAAGGGGGCGTGGTTTAAGTTCAGCAGCCCAGAGCCTCCAGGTTGCAGACATACCCGTCTTGGTATACCCGCCCAGGCTGTGTGGCTCCTCTGCCTTCATCTTAAACTCGACATGCCGGAATACCTGGACGACCCGTCTGTGCTCACCAAAGACAAGCTAAAGAGCGAGCTTGTTGCTCACAATGTGGAACTGCCGAGTGGCAACCCGACCAAAGACGTGTATGTGCAGCTTTATCTAAAGAACCTGACGGTCCAGAACCAGAAGAACGCCGTGGCCGTAGTTCTGGATGCGTTCTCCAGCGACGAGGAGCTTCCGCCTGTCGTGGCCCCCAACAGAAGGCGCTCCTCCGGAAGGGTAAGCCTTGTTCTCTGTGTTGGAGTCAACCAGCTGCCTCTTGTACTTTTTTTTTATTACGGTTTTTACGGTACTGATATTCAGAAGAGCTCACATCGCTTATGGTGGAGCTGCCAAGAGAAAATGTTTACCTCAGAAAAGAACTCCGAGTGCAGTTTGTATAATTGTTTTATACATCATAGATCAGCTTAACGGTATTCCTAAACTAGTTTTGCCTTTGTGGGACAAAAAGTTTTTTCCATTTCTTCCCATCCAGCCACCAACTGCGCCCCGCCTCCTGATGTCAGATGGTTGGTTAGACCAGTGTTTCCCAACCCTGGTCCTCAAGGCACACTGACCTGCATGTTTTAGATGTTCCCCTGCTTCAACACACCTCATTCAGCTGATTGCAGTTCAGCAAACACCTCCTAATTGAAATCACCTGTGCTGAAGCAAGGAAGCACCTAAAACATGCAGGGTAGTGTGCCTTGAGGACCAGGTTTGGGAAACACTGGTCTAACTAAATCACTTCGTGGCCACAGATTTGATCAAACCGTCACTGTTCAGCTTTCACTTCCCCCCAGAACTTTTCCACTTTAGTCTCAGTTTCAGTGAAGCTGGTTGTCATAACACAGCCGCAGCTGCCAGTTCAACACATCCCATCCAGTTGCAGAAACACTTTATTTTTACAGACAATAAAATCAGGAGTAGGAAATGACGTTTAGTTTTAAAGGCTGGATTTCACTAAATGTACAATTTTTTTAGAGAAAAAAATTGCTGATTTTGTGCTGATGTCATTAGGACACTCATGAACCAAGGAATCAGAAGAATTGGGTAGGTTACTCTAAAAAAATTAACTGGTTACAGTTATAATTTACTCTATTTAAAATGTGATAGCAGTTAAACTGTTTCAGTTACTTTAACAAAGTAATGCAGCTAATTACACAGTTGGATTTGTTAGAGTTCTGCCTGGACTCGATGAGAGGGGAGATCAGATTTAATTAATCTGGACTTGAATCTGACTTTTATTTCTGAAAGCTTTTAGGTCCATTGTTAGGTTCATTGCTCTGTTAGAAGAATGCACTTGCAGATGCTGCTCTAACAGGGGGTGAAAGATGCTTCATAAAAGGACTTCTTCCTGCTCCAGTTCCCCTTTAACACAAATCTACTCTCTTTATTTATTTATTTATTCATTCATTCTGCAGTAAGGTAAAAACTGATTGCTTTGGATGTGAGAATTTCTACTTTTCTTCTTACCAGACCAGGTAAGAAGTCTGGTAGCTTCTCATGTTCTGCATTTGATAAATGCTTTTCACAAGACAATGCCAATGTCTGACTTTGAAGTAATATTGCTCGTTTTAATGTTTTTTTTATACCAGTCACATTTAAAGACTGAATATTATAATAGTGCTTTCACTCTAGACATCTGTAACATTTTCCTGCACCTGTGTAACGTTGATGCTGTTTCTCAGAGTTGTTTGAGTTGATTTTGGAACTTGCACTGAACCCTGCAGGCACAGACTGGTTGAATTCCACAAATATAATTTCAAATGAGCTTCTCAGTAAATGTTATTTCTAAGTCCAAAGTTGCTACTGTATGTTTATGAAATGACCCTTCCTATGGTTTACATTTGGCAGGGAGGAATGGGAAATTAACTAGGCAAATGAAAGAATTCACATTTTCTTTTTAGGATAAAGGATTTTTAAATCCCTAAAGGAGAAAAAAATTTTCACCAATATTTCGATGTTTATATTTGCACTTCATGTAGAATTTTGGGATATTCTTTATTTTCTTTTTCCTGGAAGTGCTCTACTTGCTATTGTCTGCAAATCTTTACCTGACTGTCTGTCCAGGTGTGCTTGGAGCCACCTGTTGCCATTGTTGGTCAAGCTCTGCACTGGTGGGAACTACAAGTGCACCTCTCTAGCAAACTGTTAAGCTGCAGTGTTCTCAACAGGAGTTTTTTTTTTTTTTTTTTTTTTTTGCATGTGATGCCACTTTATCACATTTTTAAAATGTGCTTTATAAATAAAATGGCTAAAAGTTTGAAAACAATACACACTCCTCGCTTGAAATCTTACTAGCGTCCTGCAGGATTAGGAAAAATTAACATGACGTCTGCTTACATGTTGCTCCTGATGAATCATGTTGCAGATTTTCTTTTACCAGCCAACTAAAAGGTTGGCTGAAGATGTGCTGAACATTACAGACCAGACGGGTTTCACCAGCTGACAACACAGCAGTGTGGAAACAGCAGAGCGCTCTTAAAGGATTTATTGCCTCTGTCAGTTGTTCAGTATGTGAAGTAAAGGTGTACTTACAGAGGAATGCTAGAGGGTGGGACACTGATCCAGTTCTTTTCCTTCATGCTTCAATGTGAATAATGATTTATAAATTACAAGTAAACAGAAAAATACACATTATTTACTGGTAATACTTTTATAAAATGAAGCCATTTGAAGTAAGAGAGTAGACATGTTTCTGCTCAGGCATGAATAACGCAATTCAAGTTTACAAGATGCAATATTTTTTTTATCTTGTAAAAATGATTGCACACTGTACACTATTTATAATGATTATTTTACAATGTGAAATGAAGCTTTGATGAAGTGGCTTGCATGTCCCTTGAGATGTTCCACATTTGGTCACATTACAACTGCAAACAAATATATTTTATTGGAGTTTAATGTGAAAGAACACAAAGTGGAATACAATTGTGAGGTAGAAAAAAAATTACACATGATTCAAAAAAGTTTCTACAAATAAACTGAAAAGTGTGATGTGCAAAAATATTCAGGCTCTCTGAGTCAGAACTTTGTGGAACCACCATTTGCTGCAATTGCAGCAGCAAACGGTGTCTTTAGGGTTTGTCTCTACCAGCTTTGGACTTCTAGTTGCTCAAAGTTTCTCTGTTCTTCTTTGCAAAACAGCTCAAGCTCATATTAGATGCAGAGCGTTTGTAAACAGCAATTTTCACATCTTGCCACAGATTCTTGATTGGGTTTAAGTCTGGACTTTGGCTGGGCCATTCGACACATGAATATGTTTTGTTTTAAATCATTCCTTTGTGTTTAGGGTAGTTTTCCTGCTGGAAGCTGAACCTCTTCCTCAGTCTCAAGTTTTTTTCAGACTCCAAGCTTTCTTCATTGTCCTGTACTTGGCTCCATCCATCTGCCCATAAAACTCTGATTCTATGGGACCAGTTCACAGCAAATGTTGTCTCAAGGCACTTAACAAAAATCAGTTCAATTCAATCAAACAATCCTAGTTATCAAACAGTACAGTAAGCTCAACTAATTAGTCAAAGTAGTTTAAAAAGTTTCTATTTAAGGAAACCCAGCAAAGTGCATTACATTTTTTTTTTTTTTTTTACAATTTTCACTTTTTCATTGAACTTTCTAAATTCATACACACTGAGATGTTTTGATTAGACAAAATAATTATTCAAGATATCAGTAATGTCATTCTGACTCGGCATCACGTTAAAGAGATTTAAAATGCAGGAAATGTTTAGATTAAAAAATGTTCAAGATATTTCTAATTCATTTGGAGACATTTTACAAGGAATTTTGACTAGATATTTACATTACAGTTGTAAATATCTAAGTTAGTTTTGCCTAGTCATTATTTGCTTTCAATGTATCTGCAATTTAATCTGCATTAATTTAATCTTTTAGACTCCTATCTAAAATACATTGAAGGTATCTTGCATTATGGTGTCATTCAATATTTAATTAGAATTACGACTAGTTGGAACAAAAAAGGAGATCTTAAATTGACTTTATGACATGACATTCATATGGGAAGGCAAAGGGAACATTTGGTTTCAAACACAGAACAATCACACATCCTATTACAACTAAGGCAAGCCTCTTTACTGAGGAAATTCTTTGTACATATGGTTAAAGGTTAAAGACCAGCCTTGTGTTGGATTTTATTTTATTTTTTGTAATATGTTTTGAAACCTACCATCTACATGCCAGTGTGATTACAGTGGGAATGAATCGGTGAGTAAGAATCCCAGAAAGTCATTCCCGACATTTTTCAGATGTCTAGCTGTAGTCTTGGATTCTTCTGTCATACGTCCTGTTTTATGTCCCACTGTTGTGAAAGAAGCCTACTGTAAAATATGAAGAATATGTATCATTTTTACATTTAATGAAAATATTTTCCATCTTGGTGACGGCGAACTACACAGTCCATTGTTACTCTACCAAGCAGTTCAGCGTGAAACCACAAGTCCTGGCATGCTGCACATTTGACTACTCTCTATAAGGTGATGATAAAGAGAAATATGACTTCATTGGAGCTGGGTGTGGCTGCAGAGGAGGGAGCAGACAGTTTCACTCTAGAAAAGACTGTTGTGATGATGAAACATGCAGGTTAGATTGCCCTTAGGAAGAACATCTGGCTTTGCACTCTCCACCCATTTCACACACAGAGAACCACAGCTTCACTCCTCATTGACGCAGAGCATTTCCCCTTTGGCTTTCCTCACATTTCTGGTGGTTATCCACACTTTCTCTGAATTACAGTCAGTGTTTTGGTGCTTCAGCAGGGTTTGTTGCTCTATTTTTGCATATCTCATCAAACAGTGGAGGGATTGCTGCTAAATGATTCAACTGTAGCAACATTTTTTCAGTAAAGGTTAGATGAGTATGTTCTGAAGTGGGTATATTTAAATTAATGACTAACATGGACAAATTTACACTCTACAACAGGTTCAGAATGTTAAAATTCTGCTGGACCTCAACAAAGCTGTTAGGGATTTTTGTGTTATCATTTTCACATTTATATATCATACATTTATTATTACTGTGGATCATTAATCAGTATTGACATGATTTTCATTTAGTCTTGTCTGTGTTAAAACTTTTTGCACCAAGAACTGATTGTTCCCTCCACCCTTGGGAGAAATCGCTCCTGAGGGAAAGAGCTAGATGACCTGTGTGTGTAGATGGAGCTTGCCATCTGTCTCGCTGTTTATCTTCTTACATTCTTCCTTTTCCCAAATAAAAGGCCTGCTCTAGCTGATAGGGGGCAGAACGCTCTGTGAACGGCTCAGAGGAGCGGTTTGCTGAGTCTTCTCCTTTTGCAAAAGTTTGGCCATAAAATTCATATATGTTGTCTGTGGTTCTTTCATGTAGGTTTGGAAAAATACCTATCAAAAGCAGTCACACCTTTGTGAACATAGAGATATTCAAAAGGGAAAAGAACTTCATCAGTGAGTTGTTCTGTCTGTCTGCTTGTGAGAGGAGACATTCAACCAGGTTCTTACTGCGTTGGGTTTCTCTAGGGTGGTTCAGAGCTGGCAAATCTGTGAATTAACTGTAAATTTGGACCAAATGTTAGGTTTAGGACCTTAGTATGAAAACCATTTGCCTGCCGTTATTGATAGCCATGCTAACTAGCCTGAGCATTCATGACAGGCTTTGATATAGAGAACTAACTATAGTCTAGCAGAGAAAGGAGAGGCTGTGAGTTCACCACCATCAAGCCACACCACTGGCTCATCTTGCACGAGATCATTGTGAACTTTCAATCCCGCCAAAGTTAATCAAATCTGAATGAAAACATGTATCGGCTAAGTATGATAAATATCATCACTTTTTTAGTGCATCCGGCTAAAGAGTCACGCAAGAAACGAGGGTTGTGGTTTAGAACACCCAAAGGTGTTCACATAATTGCAGGGAACTTTAATAAGACCAGCTTGAAGACTGTACTGTGAAATGTTCTACAAGGGGAGAGAAGATTTTAGATCATGTTTACATCATGCACACTTACAGAGCCACACACCTCAGCCAGTCAGACCATCTGTCTCTCCTACTGTCCTCAACCTACGCAGAGCCAGGGCCACCAAAAGGACGGTTACAACCAGGCCTGAGGATGAACTCGACAAACTGCAGGACAGTTTCAGTCAGAGTGGGACTTATTTGAAGACCAGGAGTTGGAGACATTCACAGGAACTGTACTGGACTACATCCAGCTGTCCATCAAGAATGTGTCTGTGGAAAAAAACCATCTGGACTTTTCCTAACAGAAGTAAAAATATGGATTTGTTAAACTGACAACTCTTGATCAAAAATCACTAAACTTAATCTATTTTGGTTCAGCTAAAGCAAGGTTTTCATATTGGAATATTTATTTTAAAATATAATATTTTTGGGTGAGTTGCAACAATAGTGTGCCGTTGTTTCAATGATGCCGTTTCATCGTGCATTCACAGAGGCTGATGAAATGACTTGTGATTGAAAATAAACATGTGGCGAGATTGCATTAAGTTTGAGTTTTAACTGTCTGCTTTTGTGCCACAGAAAGCCGCCAGGAAATCAGACAAACATCATCTGGAGCAAGTCGACGTCGCATCACTTACTGACGAGAGCCTGAGGGACGAATTGCAAAAACATGGAATGAAAGTGGGGCCAATTGTAGGTGAGTGCTTCTTCCAGCTGCACTTGGCACAGAACAAAATGTCTGTTGTGGGTGATGCACTGTCCCCACAGATGACGAGCCAAAACATAATTGATTCTTGACCTACACTGTATTGCCAAAAGTATTTGCTCACTGATCTAAATTATCTGAGTCAACTACTTCAATTACTTCTGTGGTCACAGTCAATTGCTATTCTCAATGAAGTGTGAAGATTATTATGTGCAAAATAACTGATTGGATGGGAAAAATCTGTGAATATGATTTTTCAAGTCATGTCCAAGAATAAAAAAAAAACAAAAAAACAGGAGTCTCATTTATAAAGGCTTGCATAGGATTCATCCTAAAAGTATACATGCATCCAAAAGAGAAAAATGGCATACGCCAAAAAAAAAATCTGATTTATAAAACCATGTCTATGCACATCAGTATGCAATTTTTCTATATAAATCCCAGCTGAACCTAACAGGCTTTGCACAAGGTCCCTCCTCAGGTTCTGCAGCACACACATATTCAACCATAAATGGTCAATGCAAAGCTCCTTGTGACTGTCGGTGCTTATTTAAGCGACCTGGCTGATAAATGTTACCAATGGCAACTAGAGGGGGGAAAAAAGGCAATTTCACTGAAGCAGAAAGCAATGTGAGGAATTGGGAAAATGAGGAATTGAAAGCATTGTTTTTGTAGCCACCGTCACATGAATCAAGTTCACACACCCTTAGTGGGAGGGACGCCTGATATTAAAGTGCACCTCTGAGACCTGGAGATTTGGAAACGGGATTAGCCACTGCCCCCTGCAGGTTATAGCAAAATAGTGCATCAGTACATGAGGCCCCAATGGGCACTACTGCACTCAGCACTGGCTGTGACACCATAAACTCATGTAGACTAGCATTGTTCCTTAAAGTGCCATCAGAGTGTTAACTGCTTATTATCATTAATTCAAACACATAGCAGTCTGCAGTCTGCTAATTCGTGCTGTTAGGAGTCAGTTGCCAGAAACCCCAGAGCAGTAGACAGCTGTATTTGAACAGGATCGATGTGGTTCCGGTGGTCCGGTCTTTCCAATACTGGACCCAGTTCAGCACAGAGATCCAAGAACAAAGCTCCAGGGCAGGAGTACTCTAATATAAACCTTGAACTCAGGAATTCAAAATACCGCTGGAGATTAAGAAAGAATCAAGGCAACATTCCAGATGTGTTTTTGATGAGGGAATAACATTATAACATGATGTAAAGCTCAGAAAAGTTGATTTTACAGGATACTGTCCCTTTTTAGGTACATTGATCTTGTACTGGTTGGAGGGAGACTAAATTAACTAATAATAATTAATTAACTAATTAATAATTAACACACCTCACCTCCCACTGTCAGACTTCTGCTGCGTTCCTCCTGATCTTCGGCCTAGGGGTCGTGGGGAGAGGAAGTGAGGCCACCAGGCCAACCGTCGGATATTTTTCTCATCAGCAGCTCAGTTACTGGGCTGCTCTCGCTGTGGATCCATAGGTGGTTGCCACTTTGACCCATGGTTACCGGCTACAGTTCCGACAGCGGCCTCGCATCTCACACCGGGTTAGGGTGACCGGCATCACTGACCCGGTGCAAGCGCTGGACCAGGAGCTTTCCATCCTCCTGGCCAAGGGTGCAATCGAGGCAGTGGATCCTCTACAGCAACCCAGAGGCTACTATTCAACGAATTTCCTCATGCCAAAAAAGACAGGCAGATTTCGTCCCATTTTGGATCTCAGGGGACTAAATCAGTATTTAAAGGTCCTGCCTTTTCACATGCTCACGACGGCAGAGGTTCTGCGAGCTGTGACAAAGGGAGAAAGGCTTACATCAATCAACCTTACAGATGCGTACTTTCATGTACCTATTGCGGCGGACCATTGTCGCTTTCTCAGGTTTGCCTATCGGGGTTGCCACCGGCAGTTCCATGTGCTCTTGTTCGGCCTCTTGCTCTCCCCGATGGTGTTCACTCTGTGCGTGAGGGCAGCCCTCTCTCCTTTGCAGGCCCGCGGCATGAAGGTTCTACCATACCTCGACGATTGGCTTCTCTGCGCCCCGTCTTGAGAGCATGCATC